CAAGTGAGATTTGCGAGGAAATTACCAGCGAGTGTATTTTTGTGGAAAGATTCGGTCAGAGAAAAAAAAATCATGGATATGTTTATATGGCGTAAACATATCATCACACCCAGAGAGTGTCTTGAGCTGGGGGTCTTTTTGGGGGCAATGGTATAATAAGGAATGCATAAATATTCACATGAAAAATAATCAACCCTCATGAATGTCCTTATTCGCTTCTTTTATAACTTCACACACCAAATCCACACCATTCTCAATGGCAGACAGTCTCTTCCCACCCACTCAATCCACTCTTGCACATTCCCCCCTGTGGCAGAAACACTGTACATCTGGCCCATTGCGTCTGTATCAGCATCTTTCGAAACTATTAAAGTCTGCTACAGTATAAACATGCAACTCTCACCCCGTGAGCTCGTAACACAATTTCCCTGTTTATGCCATTATCTCACTCGCATTTGAAGCTACACAACGGGCAATCTCGCATCATTCTGGCGCTCTTATTGAATTACCCATTATGTGCACTGAAACTAAGTGATATGATGAATTGCCAGAGCGAAGAGGCAACAAAAAATGGCATTAAATTGCCATGGAAGCCACTGCGATAACACTCAACACTAGACGGCAAATGCATTTCTCTATCACTTTACTTTATAGAGCTTCAATCGTGAGCATTGACAAGCTTAATTGCCGCTCATTTGAATATCACGGACAACTGTGAGTGGCGTTGGAGGCTCTGCAATGAGTAGTTTTTCTCGAGTCAATGTTATTAGAAGACGAATTGAAATTGGACAAATGACTGAATCTTATAATGTTCTTGTCTAACATGTTGTTAAACAATCAATTGGGCGGAGACCGCGGAGACAGTCGGACTCTGAATTTTACCTTTGACTCCTTCTGCAACTCAAAAAAGCACGGCAATCTGTATAAATTCTCTCAGCTTAGACAACATCAAACGTTCAGAGTAATCTGCGAGAGACCACTCGACGCTCTCGAGCGCTTCAAAGAGATTCTGCACAAGTGTATTATCGTCTCTATTAAGAGGATTACCGGGACAAAGTGTAGCAAAATCTATTCTAGCGTAAACTTTCACGGGAAATCCAATTATGTTGCCAAAGCGCTTCTGAATCAGAAATCATCACAATAGATACTCAATGGACGGCTAAAAAGCGATACAAAAATGTGTTTTGTAGTAACGAAAAAAATAATATTTTGACATGTTTTTTGTGTTGCGGTTTATTTTTATCACACAGCTTCTGGGTGTTTGTGAATGCGAGCATTTCACGAGAAATCATAAACATTTCACTATGTATCATTTCACACGCAGCATTTTAGATACATAATTGGGAGGCGGAATTGTGTGGTGCTGAGATATTAAAGTCACATCGTGTGCATGATGATAAATTTGGCGAAATTCTTTCTCAACATATAACACTGAAAAGTGGAGAAAATGCGAATCATCATTTGTAGATTCTTTTCACTTTTCGGTAAATATTTGGGCGACATTCACAGTGGATGTTGTTATGGTTAATCAAAGCACAAGGAAAGTATTGATTTTGAGTGCTAATAAGGCTGTAAAACTCGCTAATAGTGTCAATGAAAAGTGAGGGAAAATATTGTCTTAAAATATCAACATGGGTTGATTTGAATCTGTACAGATGATTTGAGGGGAAGGAAGAGTATTTTGGACACAGAATCTTCATTTTCCTTATACTCACTTTGTGTTTAAAGTGCAAATTATCTGTCCGAAAAAAAACTCACGTTTTCGCTGTGGTTTGACACGTGCTAATTGGTCAGACGCTAATATTTGTGCGAGAATTAGAAAGAATCACTGATAATGTGATTTGCGCGTGACGTTGAAATATCCTCCCTGGGCGACCCTTTGGAGGCATTCCAATTCTCCGTGTGTTCAATTTGTGACATAGCAATTTGCTGATTTGCGTACTTGTATTAATTAATAATGTAACACATGGCTTGATTTAATCTTCAGCGCCCGCACTTTGCCCATTTTTTCCAGTCAACTTTTCCACACAACACACACACGGTTTGCAATGTGTTTGACGATGGGAAAGAACAATCTCTCTCATGTTCGGTGGATCTCCATATGGATGCGCGAGTGTTGGAGAAAAAGAGGTGTTGTATATTGGTTTTTGTCGTCTGATGATTATGAAACAGGCGGCCCCAAAAATGCTCTAAAAAAAAATTTTGTATTCCAACGAGACACGTTGTATAATTAATTTACTAGACATGGTGGTGCTTATGAGTGGCATTTTATGTATTAGGCACTCTGGCATACTAAAGCATCACGAGGAGAGGAGCGCAAAAAGGTCAGTGTTTTGTACTTTTGGAATATGACTCTATTGTGCCAAATGGCCACCCTCGTGACGCTGAATCGCCCCCCTCTGGGGTGCTCTTTAACACGGAAATGTTGTCCCTTTAAGGCAAATACACGAAAACTTAATTATATATACCAAAATCTCTGGCAATGCATTTGTGTAAATATGTAATTGTATCTTAATGCTGAAGAGTTCATCAACTCTCATCAGTGCAAATATTTTAATGATGGTATATTTTAGCAAATTGCAATTGAGTTTTCCACTCGTCATTCCGCAATGTTTGAGAACAGAAAGGGGAGAGAGAGCCACAATAGAGGAGCATAGGACATAAAACCACCGTAACATTTGTTCCATCTCCCACGCGAAAGTATATAAAAGAGAGTTTTACTGATGCGGACAAAGCCAAAAATGGGCTGCAGCACATTTTCCTCTGCGATAAATGTAATTTTGAATGCTTCATAGCCACGATTGTGATGTTAGAAATCCGTATGACCTTTATAGGGACCGAATTTGACGAACATCCCCTGAGAATCTCAACTCTCGCAAGCCCAAGTGTTGTCAAAACCATTCCACACGCCGCCTATATATTAAAATTGATTCAGCCAGAGTGCCATGCGGTTAATAGGAAGTTGTATTAACTTTTCGGTTGAGAAGAGCACAATGGCGCATTAGGGCCATTAGGAGCTTTTTGCTGATATTGAGAGCTTTTGATGTATTGTCGCTGGAATTTTCACCCCCGCCCAAGTGAAATCCAAGGCGATCCATCACTACAGAGCGAATCAACAGAAATTTGAGTTTTTTCCCACCGTATCACTTTACAGATGTGTGATTCCATTTTGATTGAGTGCGAGTCGCACAGTGTCAATGATCTTTCGGAAATGCACTTGATTTTCATAGGCACGTGATTGCAAAAATTCTTACATTGCATTAACACAATTAAATGCAAACACTTACATGAGTTATTTCTGTCTCAAGACACACTCTCTCTCTAGGCAATATTATTGATAATATGAGCACTTTATGCAGTCTCCTAATGGTCCATACACAGAGTCTTAGCGCGATGAGCTGGATATTTCAGTGGTCAGTCGTAAAAGTTAATGGCATTTGCAGCCGAAGTGCACTCGAAAAGGTTAAAGTGTGCGGCAAAATATCATCGAATATGGCATATAAAGTTGTCTCTGGAGTCATCATAGAAATCCCGTGGAATGCCTAAAATTACCATATAAAATGGGAAATTGGCGATTTGAGCGCGCATGGAGAAAGGATTTGCTGTCCTTTCTGCTGTAAATTGAAATCGACAACAGAAGAGACGTGTTTTATGGGGGAATTTCTCAAGTTCATAAAATAGAGCAAGACAAGGGGAAGATATTTTTGCACACAAACACCATTTGTGGCACTCAAAACTGGGTTGAGAGTGTTTAAAAGTATAATTAAATATTGATGAAATAGAGAAATAGGAGACAAAAGTTTGCAATAATATTGAGTTCACATGAAGCTTTTATTTCCACTTTGTTGAAATGTCGATAAATTATTGCGACTTATCGATACAAATTCCGTGCAATTTCCTTTTTTACTCCCATTTCAGGGATAAAATTGATTTAATTGACAATGTCAGGACTAATTAGTTCAGATCAGTCGTATTTTTCTCCTCAAATTGTGTTTTCAAAAGGAAATTGCACGCAATCCTTATCGAAAAGTGTCGACAAATGTCTGGATAAATACTTTATTTTCAGAAAATCCCACTTCTGAATTATAGCAAGTGATATTCAACTATTTCTGTAGTATTTCGCAAGGGAAATCATTGAGTAAAGATGTATTTTATCACCTGGAATATCTGAGAGACAATACATGAAGTCTGTGTGTGGTATTATTTGGATAATTACACAAATTATGCCAGAAAGTGCTTGGAAAAATTCAAATCTGACCTCTGCAAGTCGAATAATCATAATTTATCCAGCATCTCTGAGTGGCAAATGAGAGTTCTTAAGCCTCGATTAGAGATAGAGAGTGATAATTACAGAGGTCATTTGGTTTCTAGTTTTGCAAGAAACCTCAACACTTCACCCCAATTCAATTGGCAGCAAAGAGCATTGATTGAGCGTGACGGGAAAGTGGGGGGGGATGTGCATATTCGTGATGGGTGTACGGCGGCCGGCACGAGTGCGCCGCCCCTTGGGAGGAAGATATGCGCAACCTTTAGCACCACTTGAGACACCGTGGAATGCCATTGAGATGGAAAATGATTGGAAAGCTTTCTGATTCACACTTTTCACTCACACACTCTCGAGCGTCGGACTTGTGAATGACTTTGGCGAGTGTACTGATCATTCAGACAGACTCCGCGCGAGATGAAATCCTTGACCCACAGCATCTCAGCGCCCATTCACGCTGCACTGATGCCCCATCACGTGGAATTTGACGATGGACGGAAATTGGCGAGTCTCTTTTAGTATGCAATTCACAGGTCGGCCGCGCGCTTAACCCACTTCACACCACGAGAGAGACACTTTTTGCTTTAACGATCTTAGAGGCACACACTGGCAGTGGCCAATTTCACTCTTCGCCACACCATCGCCAGTTGGAGATCTCTGCACGTCGCGAAATGAGGTGATGCCGTTCGAAATGGGTTAAAGAGCGCGCGACAGAGCGCTGCGAAAGGAGTCAAACCTTTGCCCACGGGCGTGACAAAACTACTCTCAAGTCACCTAACAATTGCCGTATTTATACCACACACAGCAAGCAGTCCACACTTTTGCGAATATATCGCGATTCTGTGCGCGCGCCACGATTTTCTCCGTCCACATTCACACGAGTTCTGTGACCAACTGACAAAAAGCACATCGCGGCCCCAAGTCATCAATGATCCTCTCTCGCTCTCGCGCGCTCTCTCTTTCTCTCACTCTCGCGTATCTGAGCGGGAATTACAAGCGCGGCACTTTGTAAAGCGATGTAACATTCGTGCCACTCTGGCTCGCTCGGCGCCGCGGCGCGTGAGAGTGCAGTTCTACCATCAATCGAGCAATATAACTCAGTACATTCTTATCGCTCGACCATTATTATGCTTCCTATCTTGACTCACTTTAAATCTGCACTTGAGTTATCTGATATTTAGCCTGCGAAAATCAATAATAAGCCATCGACACGTGGATATCAAAAGCCGATTTTCTAGTCGTTGAATCCAATCGATTGTAAATGAATCGAATGGAGAAAATGTTCCAACTGAAACATACACTTCGCTGAAATTGTTTTCCATGCTCTGTAAATAAAGATGGTCTGCAGAATCACTACATATGTATATTTGAGTCAGTAAATAATAGACTTTTCAGGTGGTTTTTATTACGGCCATAATGGATTTATTGGCGTATTTCTGTCCTGCAAGTTGAGCTAAGTTTGGTTGTGTTTAAAGGCAATATAATATTTAAACTTCAATCAAGTGTTTTATTTTACGAAAGTAATGCTAGCATATTGCAGAACACGTGTGCCTTCAATATGATTTTCTTCAATGAAAAGCTTTCGTAAATGTCCTGTTGCCTTCCGAAGAATGTCAGAAAAAAGTCCCTTCGCGACGTATTGCATATATTCTCACACTGCAGGGTTGATTTCCATCAAATTTCACACAATATGTAATTTACTTGTGTTTTTTTACCATAAAGAAAAGCACCGACATTTTCATGGCAATTGTTAATAAATCCAAGGTACTTTCTTCTCCTGCCACTTTTCTTCACCATCGTCCTAAATACCAACTTGTTTTAGGATGCATTTGCATATATTTCATGAAAAAGAGCGGAGAAGATTTTCATCATTTTTCACTCAGCAACACCCTCAAAATGCCGGCACGTGAGGTTGAATTTTCCTCTCGCGAGAAGAATAAATGCAAATGCAGAGCAATTAATTAAATGATCCGCATTTTTGTGCTACATTGACATAATTTTTCCCATTCAATTTTCCGCGACCTTTTTCCGTGTCATTTCTCTGAAATTGTTGACTTTGATTACATGCGCGCGTAGACAATAACGGTCAGTTTGGTTCTTTCGTTAAGTTGGCTGAGATGCTCGCACGTTTTCTTGTTTACACGTGAGTTTGCCTGAGAATTTTGCTGAAAATGGCATCAAATATCAGTGGATTTGAGTTGGTGAATACCGAAGACAAGGTAGAAGATGGTCAGGATGCAGAATCTTCATTGGGCTTGTGATTCCGGGTGTTTGCTTGCATTGCAGGGTCGATGTTTGAAAGCCACGAGAAGCTTCCGCAAAGATGACGTTATCTTCGAGGAATCACCCTTGATATCCTGCCAGTTCCCCTGGAATGCCTTCTACGGATATCTCTCGTGTCATCACTGTCTCAGGTGAGTGTCGGATGCCGGAATTGGGTTATTCATTCACAATTCTAACCTGACTTTCCTCACGGAAGGCCTCTGGAGACGGCTGAACAGTGCGCCAGGCGTCTGGCCAATGACTCCTCGATCACTCTGCCCTATCCTGAGCAGTGTGGCGTCCTGAGGACGCGTGAGAGGCAGCGCAAGTGCGAGGAATGTGGAATTCTGTATTGCAGCGAGGAATGCCGGCTGGAGGCGTTCAAGAAGTATCACGAGACTCTCTGTCGGCTCAGGGCGCCCCTGGAGGGTCTGCTGGAGATCTGGCGCAACTGTCACTTCCCGCCGGAGACGTGCAGCATCATGCTGATCGCGAGGATCTTCGCGATGGTGTGCCAGGCAGGCAATCCTCAAGACATTCTCAGCACCTTGAAGGAATTCCAGTGCCAGGCAGTGTGTGACAGCATTTGCCACAAGATCCTGGGCGAGAAGTTCACTGAGCAGCTGACACGACTGCACGAGTGCATGGCCGGCATCTTCGTGGAGCCCGTGTATCAGGAGCTCCTGTTGCCGGACAATTTCAAGGCGCTCTTCGTGCTGGTGGGACGCAATGGACAAGGCATCGGCACGAGTTCCTTCGCCGCCTGGCAGAGGAACACCGAGCTGGCGAATGTGGACGATCGTGCGACGCTGGAGAATGACATTGAGGCGCTGTACGACAAGTTTGAGGAGTTTTCCGGCGGATTCCTGGACGTGGAGGGATCGGGATTGTACGTGGTGCAGAGCAAACTCAATCACAGTTGCCTTCCCAATGCCGAGATCAAGTTCCCACACTCCAATCATCGGCTGGTCATCTCGGCGCTGCGTGACATCGCGCCTGGCGAGGAGATTTGCATCTCATACCTGAGCGAGTGTCTCCTGAATCGCTCCAGACACACGCGTCACAAGTTCCTGCGCGACAATTACCTCTTCGCGTGCACTTGCGGACTGTGCACGAGCCAGGCAGGCGATCCGGACGTGACGAGTAGCGAAGAGGAGGACGAGGAGGAGGATGAGGGAATGCGGGACGGAAATCAGGATGCTTCGAAGGCCGATGACGCAATGGAGGCACTGAATATCAACTTATAAATTTATTCACCTGCTTTTCATCACATATGAACGGATTCAATGAAAATGACGCCAGTTGAGGGAAAAGTGGGTCTCTTTCCTTGATGTCTCTTCAAGAAACAGGTACAAGATTGATGAGCGTGTTGCTGCACTCTGCCAGCTCCGCGATGGACACTCTGCCACGCTGCCGGATGAACTTGGCCACTGCCTTCAGTTCGGACTCTGAGATGAAGATGAATTTGCCCCGATCGTCAATTACGCCCGTCAGCGTTCCCTCGGCCTTCAGATCCGTGATGCGATCGATGACCGCCTGTGTCTTGAGCTTGAACTGCGTGGCCAGATCCTCCAGCACCACGACCTTGTTGCGCTCAATGTACTCCACGAAGTCCCTGAGCAGATTCTCCTGATCTTCGCCCTCCTCGAAGCCCTCTTCCTCCACATCGAAGGTGGCCTTCAGCTTGAGATACTCCTCATGCTCGCGCCTCTCGCGCTCCTCCTGAGCACGCTTCTCTGCCTCCTCTCGCGCCCGTTCCTCTTCGCGCTCCTTCTCATCCGCCTTCCGACGCTCCTCCTCGAGCACCGCGTCCTTCTTCTTCCTCTCCTCCCTCACGCGCAATTCCGCCTCGCGCTGCGCCTTCTTCTCCGCCTTGGCCTCGAGCTTGGCTCGCTTCTTGGCCCCCATCTTCTCCCCGGCGAAGTCAGGCATCGGCCGTTCACTCGTCGCCTCACCAGCTGCCTCGTCCTCCACATCATCATCTTCTGGCTCTTCCTCCGCCACATTGGCCTGCCTCAGTCGGTTTCGCTGATTCCGCGCCAGCTGGGCACGACGCGGAATACCCTCCTGCACTCGCACAGGAACACCCCTTCGTGCTGGAGCCTGATTTCCGGGATCTGGGCAAGGAAATAATCTCCTGATGAAGTCAAATGTCACAACAAAACCATTCAAAAGCACTTTCTCACCCTTTTTCTCTGTCTTTCCCTTATTGAGGAAGTACAGTGTGGTCAGGAGGATCACCAGCAAGCTGCCAGCAATGCCAATCAGTAGATTTAAGTCCATTTTCACTTGATTTTCCAGGTAAATGTGGACAACATCAGCACACTATTTTTGCTCTGCTCGGAATTCTTCGTTAAGTCATCAGCGCCCTCTGGAAGAATTTACACGTCATCGCTCTGAGAGCCATCTTGTGGAGTGGTGGTGAATGGTTTATGACGTCCTGACGTGTCGTTCTTGTTGGGGCTTTCACCGGATTTTCACGGATAATTATGTGGAATTGGTTGATTGTGCTAATCTTAGGCTTTCACTGCACCCATGCTCTCTACTTCCACATCGCCGAGACGGAGAGGAAGTGCTTCATCGAGGAGATTCCCGATGAGACGACAGTGATCGGTGAGTGAGGTTAGGTGACCTGGTCAGGGAGAGCTCTTCTCTCACCTTCTCGCGCCTCCTTTCAGTCAACTACAAGGTCGAGCTGTACGACCCGCGCTCGGGGGGCTTCATGCCCTCCTCGCCCGGCATTGGGATGCACGTGGAGGTGCGTGATCCCGACGACAAGACCATCCTGTCGCGAGTGTACAGCTCTGACGGGCGCATCTCCTTCACCTCCCACACACCCGGCGAGCACGTCATCTGCATGTACTCCAACAGCACGGCGTGGTTCAGTGGCTCGCAGCTGCGCGTGCATCTGGACATCCAGGTGGGTGAGCACGCGATAGACTACGCAAATGTGGCGCAGAAGGAGAAGCTGTCGGAGCTGCAGCTGCGGATGCGGCAACTCCTGGACCAGGTGGACCAGATCACGAAGGAGCAGAACTACCAGCGCTATCGCGAGGAGAGATTCCGACAGACCAGCGAGAGCACGAACTCCCGCGTGCTGTGGTGGTCACTGGCGCAGACCATCGTCCTCGTGGCGATGGGCTTCTGGCAGATGCGCCATCTCAAGAGCTTCTTCGAGGCCAAGAAGCTGGTGTAGCGCCTTTGCAAGTTAATGTAATTGTAATGTAAAACACTCGATTTGTGGAATTCATAAGGTGTGATTTCTTCACTTGGAGACTTTTTCATTGGAAGTACGTAAGCGCCTCTCTGTCCCAATTGTCCTGCCACCGAAGGCGCTGGAACGTCCTCAAGTGGCGCTCCATCTCGTCCTTCACGGGTGTCAGGGCGATGTTGTCCGGGAAACGCTCGAACCAGTAGCAAAGGTGCTGGAAAAGCTGCTGAGGAGTGTCGAAAACAAAGCCATTCTTTCTATGTTGCAGAAGCTCGTCGAGGCTGCGGAAGAGGGAAAAGTTCAGGCTCCGAATTGTTATTGGAAGGATGCAAATTGACTCACCATTTGAAGTTGATGGCGCACACGGGCAGCCCGCATCCGAACATGTCCACCACCTTCATGGGTAAGTCCAGGCCGCTGGAACTCCAGTGGAGGCACACGCCGAGGTCGGCGGCGGCCAGGAGCCTGGGGTAGTCTTGATTCTCGAGCCAGGGCGCCGACACGGACACGTGCCGCCAGCGCTTCTCGCCCAGCAGCGTCATGTAGTGCTCCTTCTGCGGCCCCTTGCCTGTGATCACGCACACCAGATCCGGGAAGATGTCCGGCTGCTGGGCCGCGTGGTCCTCGTACAGCTGCAGTGCCTGCAGCAGCACGCCAAAGTCCTCGTCGGGTGTCCAGCTGGTGCTGGAGATGACAATTCCCGGCCGGTTGGGCTTCACGAGAATTGCGCCGCTGCTGAGCTTCTGCGTGAAGTTGGTGGACTCCAGCACGCCGCTCTCCTTGAAGTCGTCCGGGGAGCGCGTGAGGAACTGCGGAATGGTCTCAGAGAGGCGCACGAACAGCTCGTGCTTCTCCTCCAGCGTGATCGGGCGGAAGTGCTCTGGCGGGCGATCGTAGAGCACAGTTGCCTTGATGTCCCACACTTCCAGCAGATTCCGCTTCATCGCCTCCGTGACGCACAGATTGCCGGCGCTGCGACGGCCGTAGTAGCCCTCAATCCAGCGCGCCAGGCGCACCAGCAAACTCGTCTCCGCGGACGTGAGCGCCAGGATGGAGTGCGTGTAGTTGTGCCAGTCCACCAGCAGACGCGTGTTCCGCACCCAGCAGTAGTAGTAGCACACCACGAGAGTCGGGATGGCCGGCGGGTTCTGGCACAGCATCAGGTGTGGCCGGGAGATTGACAGGAGCGCCACGAGGAGCGTGAGGAACTGCCAAATAGTCTTTGTCACGTAGTTAATGAGGCGCGGCAGTTCGAGATTCGGGAAGGGATTCAGCTCGTGGATCTTCACTTGCTCACTGGTCGCGATTGCCGCGATGGGTGTCGTGTCCAGGTAGCCCACGAGATCCACTGCGAAGTTGTGCTCCAAGAGACTCTTCACGTGATACTGCATTCGCGGGCTGCGCCCGATGTCGCCCAGCACCACCACGCACACCCTCTTTCGCGCGGACATGTCGGGCAGACGATGAGAGCTCACGCACGAGCAGGATGTGCACGAGAGACACGTAAACAATCCACAGTGACGCGCCAGGAGCGAATTTGGGGGAACAGCTGATGGCAGTCGCCGAAGGTGCAATGTTCGGCCACAGATGGCGCAAAAGAGGCTGAATTTGAAGGGGAGAAACGAATTTGGTAGCGTGATTAGGAAAGTGTGATAATGAAAACTCAAAAAATAAAGGATGAAAATTAAATTCAAAGCAATATTGTGAATTCTAAAAGATCAATCAAAGTTAAAATTGCCATTTTTTAGGTGAACAAATTAAAAAGAATTAAAATTAAGGAGTAAAATCGAGTTGAAATTTTGGCGAATTTATCACAAACACTTCCTAATCTTTGATTAAAATGTTAATATTGCTCTATAATGATTATTTTGTTAATTATTCAGTTGATTTCATTTGATATTTATTGAAATTTTGACTCAAATAGCGAGTTAACTGATAAAATAAGCATTTTATTCTGTTCAAAAATCAATTTTAAATAATCTTCGAGAACATTTAATCTAAGTATCTTTTTTTTGAGTTAGAATATATGTATGCTAAATAATATTGTCATTGAAAGTCAATGAATGTATATATAATTTTCTCTTTCTCCTGTCTGAAAACTTAGTCCAGACAATTAAGGAGCAACACAGCTGAAAATCGTATATTACAATGTAATAAATAAATACAAATGCAGAAAATTGGCGAGACTGGCGATATAGAATCGATTGTTGGGCATGCAAATGAATTTTTTATTCCACCCCCCCTTTGAAAATTAAGCCGGGGAAATTCGTTGGCGCCACTTGAAAGTTGCAAAACCTTTTCGAGAGCCGCCGCCGCCGCCAGGGTGGAAATCACGGCGGGGGTGATTTTGCAAAGCCACCCAGGCGAGCCCATGTGTTTCGTGGCAATCGCCAATGCGTCTGCAAACAGTACTTAACATTTTCATTATATTATCCACCTCATGAGCCCTCCAGTCGTGATTCCATACGCGCGCTCGTCTCGCAATTTATGTGCGCGCTTTGCGGCACTCTCGGGGATGATAGAGGGTTGCAAAAACTGGTGGGTAAGAGAGGCTTCACAATATTTTTTTTTCACGCTTGAAAGAGTGGATGTTTGAGTGGTCAAGTTTGAACATGCGACATTTGTATGTTCACACGGGTTTTTATCGATTTTGCAGGTTAAAACATTTGAGACGAAGAGCATCAGAAAGCCATTAAGTTTCTCAATAAGTCAGTGGATAATTTATTGGGCCAAAAGCAATGTTCTGCACGCAGCAAAAGACAGTCAACATTCTGAGCAACATGAATCTGTTGGTGCTTTTCTCTTGTCTGGCTCTTGTTATGGTGAAGTGTAAAATCTTTCCCGGCTCCTGTCCAGAACTGGGCGACAACAATGGCAAGACTTCCGTACAAATGTGGCATCCATTGGCACTTTTGGCCGCTTCTTCGGGCAGAACTCACATTTTCCAACCATTCTTCGGCTCATCGATAATGTGCAATAAGATGAAAATGGAATTTAATCACCAGAACGACATAATCTTCACTCTCTCAGGCGCTAAAGAGTGGGAATTTGCGTGTGGATTTAATTTGGCACTTCTTGAGTTCAAACTCAATGCGACCAACACGATGGCAGTTGAATATGATTATTTTCCTTTGAAATCTGACAGAAATGTGATTCAAAAGTGTCCTTCTGAACTTGTGCCGGACGGCAGAATTACGATTCTGCGGCAGGAGAAGGACTTCTTGGTTCTGGTCGGTTGTCAGAATCTTCAGCAAAGCTACGATCTTGGTGTATTGATAATTTCCCAAAACAAACCATTTCATCTCTTTTCTTTTGACGTCACTCAGTACAATAGGATACTGAACAAGAGTCTTGACGCTCTGAAGGCTTTTCCTGTGACTCTTGAGGACTTCGAGGTGATGCCAGATCGAAATTGTGATGTGAATTGCAAGCCAAACGCGTGTTTCACACAACCCAAAGTGAAAACGGAGAAAACTCACGAGAATCACGTTAATTTCATTAACTACATATTTTTACTCTTGCTGATTTTCATTGCAATTATATTTCTCTCGCAATGTATTTTTAGAAAATACAGGCAAAATGAGTAATGTTTTGTAAGATTTGAGTGGAAAATAAAGTTTGTGTGAGAATTTAAGTTTGTATTCTCCTTCTTTCCTCTTTAATTGATTGAGTTAATTGATTGCTTTGATAAAATTATCCTCTTTTATCGACGAATTTCGTGCAATTTCACTTATTTATATAACTTTAGGGGAGAAATAGGATTGATATGGACTAATTAGTAGTCCTTAGACTGTCGATTTTCACTCATTCATAATCAATAAAGAGCATCACATTTCAGTGTTAATTTCAAGAGTAATCTCAATGAAATGAGATTATTTATTGACCTTTTGAATGCTAGTTTTGCATAATTGTTCGGCAATGTCCACAGAATTTTCCCCTCAACAGGATCAAAGTGCCAAACTCACCCTTTGACATTAACCCTTTCGCAATTTACATATCTCTCTCTCGATATATTTGCTTTTATCACTCGCTGTTGCCCTCTTTTTAACCCATTCAATTGCGATTTTTTGCACGCATGTTCGATGGGTGGAAAAACAAGCGACTCGAGAGAGCCGATTTTAATGTCATATTTGCCTATGGGGATGATTTTTCAAAAGAGACACGCGAGTTGACTCTATTGTGGCGCAACTCATTCACACCAGAAATTAACCCGTCAAATATTGACAATTCCAGAAATCCTCATTTAAAATTCATTGGAGGATCTGCAAAAAGAGCATCGAACGTGGGCCACAATGACGAGTCACGATGCCGTGAAAAATATGCCGCACAATACATATATACTGCTCACTTTTTCACCATGGACTTTGGGGAAATTTCCCCTGTGTTCGCCTTTGTTGTGGAGATGAAGAATCGTGAGACGCGCGTCTCATTCGCATGCGAAGACGCTGGAAAGACGAAAAGAAAAAAAACTGATGCCGTCATTTTCATCGTGGTGTGGCTAAAATGTATTTGAGGTGAAGTGGAAAATTGCTTTTCTTTTCCCCTCGCCAAGCAACTCATCAGGCGGCAGAGGTTCTTAAATGAAATCATGACTCCATAGGAATTGCGTATGTATTTAATATTGTGAGGCAAAATGTAAGAGAGTTTTCATATTGCAATTATATGTCGTGCGGAGGGAAAAGGGAAGAATCCCCAACATTCTCTCGAGGATTCTTGGATGCATATTGAGACTGAGACTGTTTTTCTTCTACACACAAGAGCGCAGATCCAGAAGGATTTTCACCCTTCACACTCGAAGGATGAGCAGAGAAATGCTGCCACTAAAAATCCCTGAGCTTCCAAATTGTTTTAGTCCTTCCTCCACGTCCTGGAAGCCTTCATATTGATCTCATTCCATTTTCACTACCCACTTCGACAGTCGTGGTGCCTCGCTTGAAGTCTTCCGCCCTTCGAATGATTTTCCACTTGCCGAGGGATGAAGGAGAATGAAGAAGAAAAAAAAATGGGGAGAAAATTGGGGAGATCACGGAAGGATGCAATATAGATTCGAGAATACCATTTCCTCTCATATTTCTCTATTCCGCAAGACATTCCACCTTCACCTCGGCTACATAAAACAATTTCCCCTTTTATGAACTCCTCCAGGATAAGGCGAAGGTCCTCGACATTTTGCCAATGATTGGGAGATTATTGCGATTATTTGAAATCTACCAGGAATTTCAGAAAGTGTGTGACTCTTCATAAAAGACTGAAAGGGGAAGAGATAAAAACAAAGAGAGTGTAGTTTATGTTAAAGTTGCATTTTATGATAATGTGACTTAGGAAAAGAGTTTTTCTGCAACACTTAATATTCACTTAAACATTAAAGCACTTCAAAAGCTTTTTAACATACATTGTGTGTGCGTGTTTAGGTTATCATTCGGTCAATGTTAATGCCAAAGGGATTTGGACAGTTCTTCATTTTCTCCTTGTTCGACAAAGATTTTATCATTCTCGATTGATGATTCTCAAGACATTGCAAACTATTGCAGAGTTTACAAAAGTAATAATTGACGAGATTATTCGGAAGATTAATATCTGTAAATATATGATTAAGAATGTGTTTATCAGAAAAAGACTGTCTTCTATTTTTGCTCACATATTTAGAAGTTCAACAATAACTTGAATTTTAATGTTATTAATTAGCAACACACAAAGACTCAGAGCATGCTGAGAATAACGTCCTCGTTTCTGCTCCAGAGAACACTTTGCAAATGTGGGTAATTACCAGTGGAAGCCTTGTCTTTCCCTCCGCGGATAAGGGTCTCGACATCGTCTTCGGCGGGTGTATTAAATCATGGGGATATTTTAATAAATGTACCGAGAATTAATACTCCGTGTTCCATAAATTGTTGCTGTTTTTCTTCAGCCAGACAAAATTTATTCCCACAGCGTTCAGCCTCCTTTTTCCCATGTCCTGGCAAAAACAAAAAGAGGGGACATTCGCGAAGATTGCCAAGACAGTTCAGAACGTTCTGCTATGGGCCAAAATCATGGAGCAAACGATGATTGTGTGGTGAAATTTCCCACCCCTCAATCTCATATTGTTCTTCATGATAAATTTCCGCGGAAAAATTTGTGCGGGTGAGTTTGAAGAGAGAAAAAATAAAATCAGAGGGTGTAATGAAAATTGGGGCTAAAATTTATGCTGCATTTTATCATCAGAAAATTAATATTTCATCCACCAAACAATATATTTGGCGCACACACACTCTAAAAATTCCCTGCGGAGAAATTTATTGATTCAAGCAGGACATCAGCGGGAAAATTGCTAAAATTCCCTCAACCAAACAATGCGAAGGATGTGGAGTTTTTTTTTTTAGCTCGCATTGGATGAGGTTAAAGAGTTGCAATTTATTAAAAAAAATTCCACACAAATTGCCCAATGTATTTTCAGCCCTGCAAAAAGATGACTATAGAGATGGCAGATGGTCGTCGAAGAATGTCTTCGGAATTGGAAAATGATTCACCCTTGTGTGATGCTCTTGGCGATTACGTACATTTTCTTTTTGCCTTAGCTTTCAAATTAAACCGCGCCGTCCCTCGACATGCAAACTCTCATTTCACATTAGGAAAAACACCCTCATTTGCTGTTACTTTTGTGCAACAAATTAAAATTTATGTCCTCAGGCACTTTTTCGCCCGTTCTGCAAATATGAAGTGAACGATTTGCTGATGGGAAATGCTTTTCCACATGAATACCTAATGGTTAGTGTTTTTTAACAAGAGAATTTATTTGTTTTTTTTTCAGGATAAAATTACAGTTTACTTCACATACTTTATTGTACAAAGGATTACAATGGAAATCAACACGACAATTGAAGTGTAGTATAGATAAGAAGAATTTATGTAATCAGAATCGTGTTTAAAGTCTTCACGATTGCTTTGTGAAATATTTCTTCCAATCATGCACTTCAAATGATACTGACACGTAAATTCGCTGTCACACTGATTAGACAGGATGTCATTAAGTGATAACATCTCAACAGGAACATCGAGCAATTTCTCAAACTTGGACAGAAGAAAAGGTCTTGCTTCAAGTGCTGCTTCAATGCGATCTTCAGTCGTCAAGATCCAAGATCCGATTTCTCTTGAGTTTTCCGATCGTTCAATGCAACTCCAAAGAACCAGAAGAACATCATTGTAGAAGATCTCAGAGAAGAATTGTCCTGTCTCCTTGCAAGCTGTGATATTCTGATCTATCCAGTATTGACTGGGAAAGCTCACGATTGGCAATGAATTTCGATATCGAATATTATAATCCATACACTTAAATCGATCTTGAACATTCCTTTCACAACTAAACATCATCATCAATGTTATAATTGGATTTTTACTTATTTTATCCTCCAGACAAATGAATTTGACGTGAACTTTATCCAGTGTGTTGAAAGGATTGTGAAATATATTGAGTGTTTCATTAGAATTGGGCAAATGAGCAACAGTTCGCAAATATTTTCCCGCGAATTTACTCAGAGGATCGCAACTTAACAGTGGAGACCGAAATTTAGGTGGAAATTTGCATCTTCCATTCAGTACAACACAGTTGTTTTCAAGTACAAATACGAGAACCAGGAGCCAAACGGTGTAAGACATTATTGAGAGAAAAACTGAAATTCCTGACGCCAAGAAAAAGGCTTTTATATGTGCGCATTCTGGCCTTCCAGTTTCGTCATAGGAAAAATTTACGATGACATATTAGGAAGTTTACTGAACTTTTCCTGCTAACCCAGAATAATTTACTACAATTTTCAGCATTATTATAGATTTCATAATGAATCAGGAAAACCTTGAATATATAGTCATCAAGTCAGAAGGGATTCTTTTCTTTTTAATGAATTTCATTGATGGTAAATCACATTTTCTCTCATCTCATCTGACTCTTTTCCATCAAATTGACAGAATTGTGTGGAATTTCGACATTCATTCTCGCTAATGAACGATAAATTGGAGAGAAAATACTGTGTGGAAGTGAACAAATCCTTCTGGCAAAGAGAAAATCCATCTTACACATCAGGGAATTTGCTTGGGAATTTGTTAGAAGAGATTAACTCTGGGTGCCGTCTTGGCAGGAAATGTACAAAATAATATAATATATACTTTCCATTTTCATCAAACAAATCGATTGAATGTGACTATAAATAATTGCATTGGAAATCACTTTATGCTTCCCTTTTGCAGCCTTCTTTCCCATTTCGCCTCGACGGAAGGAGGACAATTATCTCCGACTGTTTCTTGACTGATTTCCTCACATCGCGTGCACGTGGCTAAGGATTTTGCAATAAAAAAGCAGGGAGTGATTCATGGTAGAATAAAGAAATGAGCGGAAAAAGATAATTTTATCAATGGATAAAGCGATGCTCTTCCAATTCATAAAGCGCATTTCTTCGGGTGGAAAATGTATTCTTCTGAAAACATTAAATTTTCAGTTGAGGGTTGAAATCGAAAAAAAAGGGGGAAAAGCGTATTAAGCAAGGCGTCATGAAGTCTTTTTTTCCGTGTTAATCTCTCATAGAATGATCCAACCCAGGGAAATTGATGCAAAAGAAGTGAAAAATCATGTGTTTGATTACTAGAAATTCAGTTTTATGACGTACTTTTTGATAGTAATGCTCCAATTGGACGAATTTTAGCCAGACAAACTTCACAATTTCCAGCTAATAGCAAAGTTCAAGTTAAGTAACCATGAAATTACGTGTTTCACAAGAGTAATAGTATAATGAAGCATTAATATAGAGCAGTTGTGATGATTTTCTTGTCAAAAGCAGAGTGAATTTTGACTAGAAACCATGTGGAAAAAGGTTACAATGTACTTTGTTTTGCTCTTTATATTCGTTACCATTGCTAATGGTTTCATGCAGAAGGGAAAATGCATTCTACCAGAAGAACTACACGTGAATATGACTTCTTGTTTAGAATATCAATCTAAATTTCCGAAAGAGTTTTTTATTCCCGTGGCACATTTGCCTAATTCAGCGGAAACTCTCAATATCTTCTATAATCCTTATGGTGATTTGGGAAAAGTGTCTGTTAGTGTGATGTGCGGGTGTTATCCTATGTATGATCATAAGAAATCATTTATTCTATTAAATACTCGCTTTGATTGTGACCAAGATCGAAGGTGGAAAAAACGAAAATGTGAATACGTGAGCTTACATGTTTTTCCAACACCTTCCAAGAAGCAAACACCACAATACTGGCTCGATCCAATGATAGACGGTTGTGAAGATATTGGACAATTCTATACTTATGTATTATTCAATGAATCGTCAGATATTCTAATTCTATGGAATTGCATTGAGCGATTGGACGATTATCGAGAGATTGGCGCGTGGTTTCTTGCTCCTATAAATGATATTCGTAACACCATTTCACAAAGATATCCACTAATGAGGAGTTTCTCAGAAATTCTTGGTATTTCCATGGATTATTTCCAGACAAATGATCACTTTCGCAATCAATGCGATACGAATTATGTCTGTGATTATTACAATCGCTGCAGAAGAGACATACATATCGCAGGAGATGCGGAAGTAAATGAAGTAATTAAGTTGGAGGAGAAGGTTGATAATCTCGATGTTGCTATGCCATTTTATCCATACATCATTGCTATTATCGTGGTTCTTTTCATTGTAGGTGTAGTGATTGTTTATTTGAAAAAGAAGTGATTTAAGAAGAGATTTCAACCCTTGATTGCAATTGTGCATAATCTTCTACCCATTTAACCAATAAAAAAACTTCTCCATTATTCCTTGTTGAGAAATATGCAGCACCAATAAAACTTTGGAACCCATTCAAAATGTCGAAATAGATAATATAATGATGATGCAATTTGAAAAAAAAGTTATTTAGACTCAATCGTGTTTGAAAATATGATTACGTTGTCTTTAATATTAGTTCTACAAGTAGTAGTTACAAATGAAGTGATTCTAGGAGGGAAAATATGTCATTTGTGAGGAGTTCTCAAGAGCACTAAATGTTTCAACGGATGAATTTCAAAGGAATGTGAAGAAGATTTCATATGCGATGCACATGACAAATGTATCACAGATCTGATCACCAGAGAAAGATGAAAAGAAAATTGAGGGAAATGTGAAGAATTCATATTCATTAGTTTTGCCCAATTGCTGTCGTATGTTCTCTATAATGTTTTGTGTATTTTTTGTCGAGGACATTCAAAATACAATAAACAACCCTATATATATTTGTGAAAATAGCCAAGCTGAAAATGAAGATGATTTGTAGTCTGCAGCATGTCTTTAATCAGTTAACCTGAAATAAAACATATAGTGGAAACCCAACTGTGATGCTTTTTTCAAAACTAACAAGCACAACTCTACCAGCTTCAATTTACGATGTGTGTCCCAGGCAAAAAGCTTCCGAGAGCTTTGCGGAGAGATGTGAAGGAGCTTTTCCATGAATTTCAATGCGAAGTGCCATGTGTTTTGCCGTGAAAGCGACCCATGGGTGCAGCCACAAAATGCATATTCTCATGATTGTTGGCTGACCGATAAAATCAAGTACAATTTCACATTTGCATTGCACCACCACCGTGCTTCGAGTGGAATTCAGTGCAATGAAGTGTGACTCTCAGCATTTGCATACTCAACGAGGCGCCACCATTTGGAGTTCTTTCCTCCAAAAATTGTTTGGGAGGAATTGCACAAAGTTCGTCCAAAACAACAACCACAAAACACACAACACACCCCAAAAAACAATTAGAGTATCAAATGGCCATCGATGGCATCGGAAATGGATAATAGAATAATTATTTAATTGTTTTTAATTTTATATTGATAATTTTCCTTATTAGCGAGATAAAATTCTTTTAGTCCCTGAGAGTCCTTTGCAGTGTGAGGCAACGATAATCCAAATTTTATTATGTCATGCATAATCCTTGCCATAACATTTTCAGTTTTGAAGGTATCTTTAATTGAATGGAATTCCCAAATTCTTCGCCCTTTGCTTAGTGCTTAAGTCTCATGAATTATGAATCAATGAACTGAACATGTGGACAGATAGTACAAATCCAAGTGTAATCAGAAGATGAACAATTGGTTACAAAAAAATGGATGGAGAAATTTTTGCAAAGGGGAGAATGATCCCCATCTCGTGGGCACCTCAAGATCACTCGCAGAAGTCTCATTCTGCTCCTGGGACTTCTCGTATAACCGCAGGAGAACATTGTACGTTAATAATGCACATTATTCACATATTTGTCGCCCGAGGGTTAATTTTAGCCTTCTTAAGGCGTGGGCAGACACCCCAGATATTCTTGGGGTAAAAGTTAAGTTTGAGGAGCATTTTTATCATTTTCTGCCTCAAACACCTCAACTTGGCTCAAATCAAAACAACAAAATGACGTTTCTGCCTGCGTTCCGAAAGCATTTCCCCTCCCGAAAAATTCCGAAGGCTGATTTTGACTCAAGACTCACGAAACTTTCAAAATTGACCTCATGTCAACAAGTTAAAAATCGATGATGTTCTGTTGATTCTGATTTTGACCATTTTCAAGACTCAGCCCTCAGGGGACATTTTCCACATGTGATTCTATACTTCTGGGACTCTTTTGTACTTCTTTCATTGTTGGTACGCCGTTTTTGTTTGCATTGTCGTGGAAGATCTCTTTAGAGGATTGCCCAGAGTTTATTTGTTGGAAATATTGCTGTGGAAAAGTGTTTTGGGTGAAAGGATCAAGAGGACGGTAAGTAAATTTCAAGAGTTATGATTTCTAAATACATCATCTCATTTTCATTCCAAATTACTCATATTCTTTATTTTTATATTTTGCACAAGCACTAACAAATTAGATAATCTACTTAGATCCTAGACGCACCTCTTAGTCAACGCGAGACGGTAAAGTTTTGATACTTGGAGATATTAACAAATTGCACATGCAAATTCCATGTTCATATGCATATTACATGTAATTGTTAACTCCATGGAGTGTCTGACAATCTGCCAAAGACCTGGTTTAATTATAAATATGCGCACAAGAGTGCATACGTTAATATTCAATTCGCATTGCCAGCCGTCGCCCACCCCAAAATCCACCCCTCATTATACATCATCATACAGCATTCTCAGGTTGATTTCGCACACCGTCTCACACGCTGACATAATCATGATTATTCCTCACTCTGAAGGGGAGTGGAAAGCTGGGGGTGGTTCAGTTCAATTTATGCAAAGTGCATGAGGTTGGGGACACTGGAGTCATTTAGTTGAATGATTCACGTGTCGTTCTCGGTAAATATTTAAACCAGAATTTCACTACACATCCATCCACGCAATTTTCAACAAATTTCACACCCTGCAATTGAAGAAGTTATAGCATTTGTGGTGGGAAAGGATAGAAAATGTCAATTGGATGGGGGGAGAAAAAGAAATGCTGCTGAAACGCGATGAATTCTTTCAATTACCCATCAAGTTCTTTTGAAACAGGATTGTAAGAAAATTGCAGTTGAAGAAACTCCGTGATTGCAATTACTGAGAAAGCAGTTGAGTTATTAAATTTATTCACTGCGTGCGCGGCAAAAGTAAAAAATATCACATTGAAATTGATGTTCGAGAGGAAATATGCATTTTTTTTTATTTTATTGAAATCATAACGCAGAGGAATAACAAATGGACACCTATTGGGGGAAATATGACTGATGGCTGTCATGTGATTTTGTGGTCGGTCAGAGTCTGTGTTTGATCATAGGGACAAAATAAACCATGAGTTATTGATTGTTACTTCTGTGGTGGATTAATTTAAGGCTTCATCTGCAAATAAAACAAGACTTTATTGCGTGTAGAAATAGAACGATTTTCCCTAAATTGCAGAAATCTTTCTCTGATTTACAGTAAAGTGCTCTGCAGTCAATCCTTTCACATCCACAATGCCTTATTGTCTTCCAGACAATCCTACATACTCTTGTACATACTTGGAAAGCTTAAAAGCTCCTTGAAGTGTTTATCTATAGAGTGTATTTTACAGCTGAGGCTGAATTCAGATGTTGCAATGCTGGAGCAGAAATTCTCTCATGTTTCAAATTTCAAATTAATCCTCTTATGGATTGACTGAAAATGCATCTAAATCATCCATGAACAACACACACACACACACACATGCTGATTCAACTCACAAAAGTCCCTCGATAACCATGCTATTTCTGTGGTTTTTCCCACCAGTTATATTTTTATACATATAAAAGCCCAAATTCTGCGTGTTAAAATCGTTCAATTTGTCCATAAAAAATTCTTATATACAATTACACATTTCATATAAGTGCTATTAATTTCAAACAGAAGGAAGTTTAATTTATTAAAGTGTTGCAAAAATGTACAACTTTCTTATTGCCACGACATATTGCGTCCATAGCAGAAATGCCCGTGGATATAACTTTAAATGGAAAATGAAGTAAATAAATTGAACTCTTCCACTAAGCACTTACAGCAACTTTAGAGCTTTCAGCGTGCTACTTTCATGTTCTGTTTATACAGCAAACTAACATAGCGTTGAAATAGCAATTACAGATATGTAAGTGCATTTCTGCAGAATACTCTCATCTCTCTCTCTCCCCTCGAGGGAGCACCTCCGCATTATATACATAGACGGCACACAAAAAGCTCATACAACCCTCCTGATTCCATTAAATAATGTTTTACGATGTTCTGCTGTGAACTAGGAAATCTACCCTCCCCATTGAAGACCAGTCTGTCTCACCCTCTTTGGCAATATGCTCCTCTTTCTCCATCCTGTTTCCATTGTCGAAAGGAGGTAATGATGAGGAAAGAGTGTGAAATCTCTCAATGAAGCTCAACAGATTCGGATTTACTTTTACAAACACAAACGATTTATTGACGATTTAATTGATCCTCTAATTCATACCTGGAAATTCTTTGTAATTATTCATACAAACGTGTGATTTGAATTTAATACACTTAATCACAAGCCATATTTTCATTGAAAATCATCAGATGAATAATGCAATGTATCGATAATAGTGCTCTCAAATAAAATCATGTGCAGTCAATCTCGTATAAAGTTGTTATCCAACAAATATGTTTATTTCAATCTCTATTCACAACATTCGCCCTCTCGTGTGTGTGAATTTCATGTACAAAGATTTTCCACTTCATCGCTGACTTTAATCCTTTTTGCGCGCCAAAACTTTTCAAATCTCACAATGTTGGCGGAAGGGAAGAAGAAGAAAAAAATATTTAGTGAAGAGATTAAATGCTCACGGAAATCTGTATTCCGAATAAATCGAATTTCATTGTTTTCTTCACACTTGAGTGGAAAAAAGAGTCCCTTCAATCGCAGCACACATTTTGTAGGAGAGTTTCTGTGTTTTGAGTAGTGGTGGGAGAAAAAAAAAAACTTTAAATCCTCTCGCAAAATAGTTCCTGCCAGTTGATTTCGAAGGGATTTCCTTATCGTCAGCACCAGACAAACGTATGCAGCGGACCTCTGAATCGGGTCTCGTACGCAAGATATGGTGAAAAATCCATCCTCAGAGTCCAATAACCCATGCAAAGGTGGGGTTTTCTTTTGTCTGGGTGACCCGAAGAAGAGCGTGGGAGTGGAGCAGTTGGTGAGGTTTGGCGATAAATTTGCATTTGCCTCTCAGCCACAGAGAAGCTGTGGCGAGGACCTCGTCTTGTGGCTTCGAGAGGACAAAATTCAGGTGGGTGGCGGTGGGCGATGGAAAGCGCAGTGCAAAACACTTTTGCGGTTGAGCGGACGCCTTGGGGGTGTCGGAAAGTGGGCTTCCGGTGCATCAAACATGCGGCAAGAGGAGCTCTGGGTTTGCATATATTTGAGAAATCATGAATCCCAAGTAATGATAAAATGCTTTTACACCAATGTTTGTATTAAGATTCATGAATTGATTATGAATGGCTCAAGCACTTTTGGCATCGCTTCCGCTCTCAAATATTTGCCAAAGCGATAAGCAGCGCGCTGATGTCTCCGTCTTAGGGTCTCCCCCCAAGGCGAAATATATGGCTTCTCACGGGTCGACAAAAGGTTCACACCAGACTTCAACACCAATAATAATGAGGTTAACCAGAAGGCGTTCTCGTCCCGAGAGAGTGTGCTAAAATAAAATTCAAATATATCTCCATCCGCTCGGCTTCCATTTGCAAATCTAGAGTAAGTTCTTCAAGAAAATTTGGGATATGTTTGCTCTCTGCAAAACCCTCTGCCCACAGTTTCTGTGAACATAGTGAAAAGTTTAATTTAACACACTCTTGTAACCTCACGAGACAAAGGAAGGGACCCAATTCTTTCGCGAGAAAGTGTTCCTTGGCTCATCATCACGCGTCAAAACTTTTCCATTACGGCACAGTGCTTTTCCCACGCAGAATTTCACACTGTCTCTCATCGGAGGACCTTATTAGTTGGAGATCTTTTTAATTAAATTCAAACTGACTGTGCTTCAGTTAAGCTTATTTCACTGGTTCTTGGGATTTAATATAAATCTGTGAAAGAAGATTTCTTCTTCTATATTTTATACATGAAATATTTGAGTTGAATTACAAGGAAATGATCTTTAAGAGTATGTCTTCTATATTTATTGCATGGCTGAAGTAAGTTTCGCCTTGAAGCACTGCAGAAAGAGAAGTCTGAGCAAAAATGTAAATATGAATAAACATCCCGATGGCGAAAATGTGAAATTTCAGCAAATATTTCAACAATTGTATCGCAAACACTCAATACTGGCATTCCGGAAGAATAAATCCTCGCCTGATTTATGCCAAATATCCACCAGCACATAATTGAAATGTATCCTCGCGCAATTCGTGTGAAAATGCCCAGAAAATTGCAAGATAGCCTCTAAATTCCCTATACAATGCAATGTAAATTTACCTGATTTGGCAGAAATATCCTATGGATCAGTGTCGATATAATTGGCAACCTGCAGGGCTGACTGACCACAAACTCCAGAGCGCTGGGAAGATGTTGAAATTTGCATATTCCACCACTCAGCAAATCAATTAAGTAATTACAAAGCGAGCCCAGCAAAGATAAACGATCTACCACATTAATATAGACATGTAATATTGCAATTGAATTACAATTGCTGGTGAGATAAGCACAGAGTGAGTGAATGATATGTGGAGAGTGGGTGATTGCCTTTGATATCCCAGACCTACCAATTGAGCTCAATGCCTTGTCAATGCACGCTGGGATTCATAATGCAGTGCAATTAAGACACAATTAATCTACCTGCGAGTCTCATCTGAATTCACTCCATCAAATTGCGCTCTTGAGCATCATTTGAATTCTCCATAAAATCTATCAGTATGAAAATGAGATAATTTTAAGTGTACAATTTCTGCAAGAGTTGAAACTCCGTCTGGAGCACTTCAGTTGCTTGTGATATAAAGTAAAGTTAAACTTTCAATAAAGTTGGCGCAGTAATTTCAACTCGAGTGTAACTACTTAAAGACAGAACATGAAAAACATTATGGTGCGTCCTGAGAAAAAGATGCTCGGACAGTAATTTTATGAAATGCTTCATGTTGCGAATACTGCGGAAGACTATCTTCTGTACATCTTCTTTTTCACTCTTGTCACTCTTTATTGTTCCTCTCAGGCCAATTTCACATTGTCCCTCGCACCGGAAGTGCCCATCAGCCTCTGGGGAGCGCAACTTGTGAAAATCTCTCACTTCCTCTATAACTCCTCTCTAATTGTTCCAAAAGAAAAATGTCCACACTGTTGTGCTGCTGTGAAAGTTTTCCAACTTTACTTGAAAGAGCGTCCGATGGTGGTCAGAGGGAAAATGGGTGAAGCAATAAATAGCAGAAAATTTTTCATTGACAACATTTGAGCAAAAAAGGCGGGAAAAGTGTAGCACGAATGGAAAATATTTTCATAGCCATTTATTTCCCTTGGCATTTCTTACACTCTCTCTTGTTTCTTCACTCCCCAGGATATGTAAAGTGATCGATCAGTGTGATGCCAACTATCTGCAATTGTGCCGAAAATACAGTGATGAGCAAATTGTCACCAGAGTCAACATTATAAGTTGATTTTCTTCAACACTCTGCGTGTAACATTTTCTCATTGTCTATTGGACATAATTGGATCAATAATCCAGTCAAAATCGCGTGATAGAAATGTATAGATTTCATTTGTTCGAACTCCACTTTTGCAGCAGTCTGTATAGAAACATTCTACTGTGGAGAAGGTGGCAAAAATTGCGCAATCTACCCCAAAATCATCGTGTTTGGGTGAAGATAAATGGATACATTACTTTTTCTATCCGGAATCTTTTCCTCGTCGCCAACAACAGACACCCCAGAAGCAAATATTGTCCATAAAAGCGACATCATCATTATTTCTAAAACATTAAATTGGTCCCTCTTTGTCTTGCGACGACACACGCAGATTAAATTGTACTTAGCCTCTGACTCACAAGTCTGATTTAGACGTTGGGCTTTCTCTCTCCATAACTGCGGAAAGATAGCCGAATATTTGATGAATTTACACAGTGTGTGTCATTAAGTGGAGACAAAGAAGGGACAAAGTGGTGGAAGAGGAATTTCGCAAGAGCATTAATTTAATTACATCTCCGCAATTTTTCCACTCTATTCCGACAGACACACACACATATAGTCGTGTAATCATTTGCTAGGAGTACATTTAACACAATCACAGGGCCTTTCATGGTGGAAAAAAGCACGCTCCGTGGTTCGTCTTTCATCTCTCCGGTGCTTTCTGTATAGAGAGATGCATTATTAAAGTGTGCATGACATCCCCATCCCTTAGCACATCGCACTCGTGTTTAATTTACAGTCGCAGGAAGCAGTTTCCCTTTTGTGCCTTTTCCTATAATTATATGACAAAATGCCTCATGTGAGACAGAGGGGAGCTCAAGGTATCAGGAGATTTGTTGCAATTTCGTGAGAATGTGTGATACAGTGGGATTAAATCGCTGCGGTGATACTCTTTAGGAATCGCCGAGACTTAGGGATTTTATCAACTGCCACAGCAAACCATTCAAGAAGTCTCACAAGAAATTGCAAGGAGTCGGAAAAATAAATCGGATTTTGATGTGCAGAGGGGAGAAAATATCCAGGCAATATCATTTGCAGGGAGGGACAGCAAAAAAAAAGTCCTGAGCATGGACTCAGATAAAAGAGTCCAACCATCATAAATACAACATGAAAAGGGTCACCCATTCCGCGCATTACGGTAATCCATTTGTCGCAAATAAAGTGAAAACAAGGCGCTTCGTCAAAGCATCTCGCTTCGCCTGATCTCTGTACATTATATCAAACTATTTTATTAATATGCAGTGACATACACTTAATAAGGGGGCGTGCAAAGACAAGGAATCTCTTCGAGGAAGAGACATCATGTCATTAACTAACCCTTGACACACAAGTTATGCATAACAGACTTATTAATTATTTAAGTGGCTCATAATGTTTATCCACAGTATGAAGGCAACAGAGAGAATTTTTCCCATTACACAAGGGGATGTATTTTCATAAAGGGTTACCCAAATTTTCGGTGAATTTTGACATGCAGTATAAATACCTCAAGTTTCCTCAGCTATGTATCCGTGAGTCCATCAATTATTCATCAAGTTAGGAGGGTTCTTGAGATGAAAGGAAGTGCTTTGTGCTCTGTTTGAGAGAGAGAAGAAAAAAAAAATCTAATCAACAAAGTGTCTTCAATTAAAGGCGCAGTGTTACCACCTTCTGGAATCCAGACTAGATACTTTAAGGACGAGCCCAT